TGATCCCCAGTAGGGGGCGTGCAGGAGGCAGCTGATCGATGACACATCGGTGTTTCTATCTCTGTCTCCCTTCCTCTCTTTCTAAAAACCAATAAAAACTTTTTTTAAGTGCTACAGGAACATGGAGGGAGAAGCCGCGACACTTCCCTGGGAAGGAAAGGTAAGCAGTTGGTGCAGGGAGCTGAGGCATGCTCACCACCCCGGGGCTGTGGAGGCAGGATGGTCTGCGGGGGGGATCTCAGCGGACCAGGGCTTGTCTAGAGCCACACTGACCGTCACGTGCTGGGGACAGAGGTGCCTCCCCTGCAGGAGGCTCAGACCCCTTCACCTGTCCCCGTGGAGCTGGGAGGCCTGCAGCCTGGAGGGTACCACCCGCTGTGGGCTGCGCCTGGATACTGCTCAGAAGCTAGGCGTTTGGATTGAGTCCATATTGTGGTCTTCTACACTGGCCTCGCTGGCCACAGCTACGCTGGAGCGGGCAGGGCTGGGGATGGGGCTTCTGTCTGCAGAATGCGTGTTGGACAGGCTGCCGGCCCCTGCCCAGCACATCACTGTCCTGTCATGTCAGTCTGAGAGCTTTTGATGCAACTGCGAGAATACCCGCCAGCACATGGCCTGGGAGCTGGTGACTTCTGCTTTTCCTTTCTCACATGACAAGTCTGGAACCAAGTTCCTGGGAAGGTCAAAGCTCAGAGTTTGCGTCTCTGTTACCCCCAGGGCCAGGGCGCCTGGGTACTCACTGAGCCAGAACTTTACTCACTTGTGCTCCCAGCTCCCAGCCTAGCGACCCCTGACTCCAGGCCCGTGTCCAGTAATGTGCTGACCGGCTGGAGCTGGGCTTGCTGTAGTGCCAGCCCGGGTACATGGGACCTCTGTGCGAAAGCACGCTCTGCCAGCCCGTTTGGTGAAGGTCAGAGTGCTTGGACGGGACCCCCACGCATTCTTTTTTTTTTCTTTTCTTTTTTTTCCAGAGAGGAAGGGAGAGGAACAGAGAGCTAGAAACATGGATTAGAGAGAAACATCAATCAGCTGCCTCCTGCACACCTCCTACTGTGATGTGTCCACGATCAAGGTACATGCCCTTGACCGGAATCGAACCTGGGACCCTTCAGTCTGCAGGCCAGGCCAACGCTTTATCCACTGAGCCTAACTGGGTAGGGCTCCCTACCCATTCTTTAAAAACCCAGGCTGTGTTCTCTCGGGGGACTTTTTAGCCGGGTATTTTTGTGTTGTTTTTTTTCCAGTCCAAAAGTTAACATTCATGGAATTTATTAGGCCTATCCGACCAGGAATGTTTCTCTAAAAATAATCTTGCTGTAAATGTTGTTTTTGAAACGACGTTTTCACAGAATGAGGAAGTCATCCGATAAAGGACTGATTGTGCAAGAAGTGCCTGACCAAATTTTTATCAGATTATTTAAAAATTGAGATGCACCTGACAGAATTGTAAAATATTTAAAACATTGTGCATGGTAGTGCCTTACAATACATACACATAATCTTATCAGGTTCAACGTTTAAAAAAGGCAAAACAAACAGCATCTCTGGGAAGAAGTGCTAACATGGGAGTTTCCCATCCTTGTTGAGTAAGAGCAGGCCCGTCCCCTTCTGAGAAAACCGGCCTAAAGGCCACGGCCACCGGATCGCCCAGGAGCGCCTGGGGCCGGCCCTGGTTCCTCCCACTTCCCTGTTTGTGCTGAGTCATGGTGCGTGGGGTGGGTCTGGCCGGAGTCAGTTACACGGTTGAATGACAGAGAATGTGCCTGTGCAGGAATGTGTGTGTGTGTGTGTGTGTGTGTGAGTGTGTGTGTGAGTGTGTGAATGTGTGTGTGTGTGAGTGTGTATGTGTGAGTGTGTATGTGTGTGTGTATGAGTGTGTGTGTGTGTGTGAGTGTGTGAATGTGTGTGTGTGAGTGTGAGTGTGTGTGTGTGTGAGTGTGTATGTGTGTGTGTGAGTGTGTGTGTGTGAATGTGTGTGTGTGTGAGTGTGTGTGTGTGTGAGAGTGTGTGTGTGTGAGTGTGTGTGTGTGTGTGTGAGTGTGTATGTGTGAGTGTGTGTGTGTGTGTGTGAATGTGTGTGTGAGTGTGAGTGTGTGTGTGTGAGTGTGTGTGTGTGTGAATGTGTGTGTGTGTATGTGTGAGTGTGTATGTGTGTGTGTGAGTGTGTGTGTGAATGTGTGTGTGTGTGTGTGTGTGTGTGTGTGTGTGTGTGTGTGTGTTGGGGGAAGGTGTCCAGCTTCCCCCGGTAACTGGCTTTATTCAGAGACTCTGAAGAAGAGGGAGGGGAAAGGACTGTCCAAGACAACTTGAATCTGAGCAGGAATCTCACCAACCAGGGCCCGCCCAGACGGTCCCTGCCGGTAGCCAGGCATAAAGGAGGGGGACAGAGTGGGTGCGGAGGGCGTCCCCAGCCCCGGGAGAGGCTGCAGCTGTTCCGGAAGCTCTGGGCTCCCGTCCTGGAGCCGCACCAGGTTGTTGGGCCGGAGCCACGCTGACCCTTTGCAGGAAAGGGGAGAATGGAGCAGGAATCCTTCAGCTGGAGGCCACTGAGTAGGTTTAGCAAGAATCCAGGTGATTCTTTTTATTTTTTTAAATATATTTTATTTATTTTTTACAGAGAGGAAGAGAGTGGGATAGAGAGTTAGAAACATCGATGAGAGAGAGACATCCATCAGCTGCCTCTTGCACAACCCCCACTAGGGATGTGCCTGCAACCAGGTACATGCCCTTGACCAGAACCGAACCTGGGGCCCTTGAGTCCGCAGGCCGATGCTCTAGCCACACCGGTTAGGGCAGATAATTCTTTTTTAAAAATTTTATTTCTAAATTGATTTCAGAGAGGAAGGGAGAGGGAAAAAGAGATAGAAACATTGTAGAGAGAATCATTAATTGGCTGCCTCCTGCACACCCCCTCCCCCCACTGGGGATGGAGCCTGCAATCCCAATATGTGCCCTGACCAGGAATCAAACTGTGACCTCCTGCTTCATAGGTCAACAACGCTCAACCCCAGAGCCATGCTGCCCAGGCGAGTCTGGCTGCTAGATATTTAGCTCCCGGAGCAGGACCTGGACCATCAGGGCGCTCGGCTCTCTGGCGTCAGCGCCAGCTGCCACTCAGGAGCCACACATGCTGGGGAACACGCCCAGTTAACACCTGACCCAGCTCAACACCCTTTACAGAGCATGCCCCCCGTGCACCCTCCGCCCCCTCCGCTGGCAGGGTGTGAGCCAGGCCTACGTGCCTCAGCTTCTGGCGGCTCTCCCCTCCTCCTCCATCCTCCCCAGTGCTCTGTTCCCTCGGCCAGACCTCTGTCTCCAACACCCTCCTCCTCCGAGCCTCTTTAACCACCTGCCCCGAAGATTGCCATGGGGACGTGTCATGCACCCACTGCATCCGAACCCCCCCCCCCCCCCGCTCCTCCTCTGCAGTCCAGCTGCTGGCGAGGCCACCTGCCCACCCCGGCCCCTGCGACTGCTCGCCGGCCACCCGCTAACCTCCGCCAGCGGCTCCTCGCCCACCGTCTTGCCCTCCCGTGTGGCTCCCTCCAGGAGGCAAAGCATGATGGTCCCTCCGAAGCCCGGCCCGCAGGGCACCGGGGCGGCCTCAGAGCTGAGGGTGCCTTCCGTAACAATGCCGTCTTCCGCCTGAGACTGTGACCTGCCGCCCAGCGGAGCCCCTGGCACACGACAGCATGGAGTGGAGGCTGGGGGCCCAGGGCTTTTAGCGAAGAAATGGGGGTGTGGGAGGTCACAGGTGGGTGGGCAAACCCAGCTGTATCGGTGCTACTCTCCATCCCAGCAATCGGATTTGGATTTGGAGGCCACAAAGGATCCAACGGCCCTGGTCCTGCTTGAGGGGGCAGTTCTCTTCACACTGACAAACATTTGCTGATTCACGTCACAAGCCAGGCCCCGTGGGCCGAGGTGGTCGGCCCAGTCCCCCTTCCAGACTCTCATCCTGGGGGAAGCAGCCCTGAGCTCTGGGAGGACAGGTAGGGTGGGCGCAAAGGCAGACCAGAGCAGCTGCAGAGGCCCTCACCCCGATGACTCAGGGCAGAGGCGAGGGGGAAGCGCAGCTGCGGAGGCTGGAGGGGGCTGGGAGTTGGCTCAGACACAGGAGAGACCTGGACCACCGCCGTGAGCGAAACTGTCAGCGCCCCGGACCTCTGGCCCACACCCTGGCTGGGCTGACGCTGCAGCACCCACCTGGGTCCTGTCTGCCCACGGAAGCTGCGGCCGAGCCCTGGGGAGTCCCTCCCACTTGGACAGGAGGTGGGACCACAGGGGAGATTAGGGGAGCAGGCCCCACAGAGGAGGGGAGGGACTCGAGCTACACCCCAGAGGCAGCAGCTGGCCCCCTAGATAAGTCCCCACCCTGAGCCTGGCCCTGCCTTTGCCACAAACTGCCAAGGGCCACGAGGGCGCGGCCAGGGGCCAGTGGTACAGACTCTACTTCCTCTGAGAGGCGGCCCCGGGGGAGGGCAGCACGCACGGGAGCGGATGGAAGCTGGGCAGCAAAGTGCCAAGGGCCAGCGAAGGACTGGGGAGAGAATTCCTCATGCTGCCTGAGCTCGCAGCGGTGTACAGCAGGCCTGTGTGGCCTAAGGCTCAGGGAAGCCAGACGCCACGAGTGGGAGCCCATGAGGGTGCGATTCTGTGTGAAGGTCCTTCCGCACCAGCACCCTCTCCACCCAGCACCCTCTCCACCCAGCACCCACTCCGGAGGCTCACCCTGGGGCAGGTGGCGCCGCCTTCCTTTTCTGGAAGGCCTCTCTCCTCTAACAGGGTCTGGGGGTGGCCCTGCTGGTGGCCGGGAGAGGGGGGCCCCTGGGACGGAGCCGGGGCCCACACGGAGAGGAACACCCCCTGTGCTGCACAGGAAGGAGGGAGTCAGGCCGGGCAGGGGTGGAGGGTGGGGCCCCAGCTCCCGCCGTGACCAGGAGGCGAACGGGAAAGGTGTCCCCGCTGACGCTGACGCTGACGCTGACACAGACACAGGACAGAGCTCCGCTGACACCGGACGTTTATTGGGAAAAGCCATGGATGGGGGTGGGGGGGCAGGGGCGGGCAGGACAGGGCCCATCGGGGGGTTAGCTGGGCATCGGGCGTTCCTCCGTGAGGTTTAGAGCAACACCTTCATGGACAAACCCCCCGGGGCCGCCGGGCGGGGGCCTAGGCGGAGGCGGGCGCCTGGGCCAGCAGCGCCTCGATGTCGGGCTCGATGTCGATGGTGGGGAAGCGGCGGCTGTAGCGGCGCACGGGCACGCCGTCCGCGCCCACCAGGAACTTCTCGAAGTTCCAGGACACGTCGTTGCGGGACACGGGCGACCAGACGACGAACTTGGGGTCGGTCATGAGCGGGGCGGGGTCGTCGCTGGGCGCGGGCAGCGCCTCGCGCAGGAAGGCGAAGAGCGGGTGCGCCTGCGCGCCGTTCACCTCGCACTTCTCGAACAGCGGGAAGTTGGGCTCGAACCCGCCGCCGGGCCGCACGTACTTGAGGCAGTTCAGGATCTCCTCGTTCTTGGCGTTCTCCTGCGGGGCACAGAGCGGCAGACGGGGTTCGGGGTGACTCACCGGGCTCGGCCCGCCTTGCACAACCCGGGGCGGCCCGCGCCCGCCTGGCCCGGCGCCGGGCAGCGGGCCTGCGCCCCGCCCCGCCCGCCCCGCCCCGGCTCTCCCGCCGCCCCGCCCGCGCACCTGGTGCCCGAACTGGTTGCACGGGAAGCCCAGCACCACCAGCCCCCGCGGGCCCAGGCGCCGCTGCAGCTCGTTCATCTGCGTGTAGTCGCGGACGGTGGTGCCTCAGAGCGACGCCACGTTCTCGATGAGCAGCACCTTGCCGCGCAGGGAGCCCAGGCTCAGGGGCTCGCCGCCGGCCAGCGGGCGCGCCGAGAAGGCGTGCACGGAGCGCGGGGCCGCCTGCGCGGCCGCCCTCAGCTGCGCGGCGCTCATGGCGGGACGGGGTGCGCCGGGGACGCGACGCGGGGCCCCGGGGTGCACCGCCTTTTAGCTGGCAGCCGCGGCGTCACGTGGGAGGGCGGCCCCGCCCCGCCCCATCCGGCCTCCCTGGCGGCGGGCGGCGGGCGGGCCGGCCGGATGCAGACGCCGCCCAGGCTGCGGAGCTGCGGGCAGCCGGGCCGGGCGCACGGCCGGGCGCGCAGCAGCCCGTTATCCGAACGGCGCCGGTGCAGTCAGAGGCGCTCGTGGGGGCTGGGGGTGACAGCGCCTGCCCCTGCCCTTCCAGCCCCTCTTGTTGCCGTTTCCGCCGTGTGTCCTGGGGCTGCCGGGCCGAGCAAGCTGTGGCTTGTGGTGCCGGTGCGGTTGGCAGCACCTGCCCAGGCAGGTTCTTCTAGAAGGAGCTGTGGTTTGGGAAGGCGGAGGGGGCAGGCAGGGCAGCAGGCAGCGCCCAGGCCCTGCGGCCGGGCTGTCCGCGGTGTGAGGCCCAGCCCCGTCCCCCCTCCTCTTACAGCCTACAGGGAGGGCCTCCGGGTCTGGCCCAGCTGGGAGCATGTAGGGCCAGGAGGGCCCTGCCAGTTCAGGCCATCCTCCGTCCCAGTCACCTCCACCTGGGGCTCCTCCTGGGAACTGAGGCACTGACAAAGGGGGTAAGAGGAAAAGGCGACGCCCCCGGTCTGCAGTGACCGCTTGGCGTGCCCTCCAGTCTCCAGCAGACTGCATCTTCCCCCCACCCCCACCCCGAACTTGAATGTGACCAGACGATCGTCTCCATGTCCTAGGAGCCAGGTTGGTGGATCAGAGGATCGTGGGCCCGCTGGTACTGTGCAGCCCAGCCCCCACCCCCAGCCCTGGAGAGAGGCACACACCGGATACAGAAATTTAGAAAACTGCCTTTATTCTATTAGTAGTTGGAAAATTAACTGGTACAGAAAACAGTTCATCAGCTGGAGAGCCCGATGCCAGAGAACTGGCTCCGGGAGGAGCCTGGCACAGTGAGGAGCGGGGGCGACCGAGCCAGACCCGCAGGGGCGCAGCTCGCCCCTGAAGCGACTACATGCCTCAGGCACCAACCAGTCCCTACTTAGCCCAGCTCTGGGGAGGTGCGGGTGTGGGGCTGGACAGGAAATATGGCCATCTTTTATTAGAGAGACCGACAAAGCGGGAATTTTAAAAATGAATTTTCCATCTGACTTTATTTTCAAATACACTTTCTTTTTTAAAAAAACCAATACACTTTCTGTGGGGATGACAAATATCAGTATTAGGAAATCCAATTATACAAAAAATACTACATCTAGTTTGGGGTAGATATATTTATTTTTTGGTAACATACATTAAGTGGCACTAATTACACAGTAACTATAAGGTAACTAACATGAAACCACAGAACTGTAACTTTGCCGCGGCTGCATGGACTTGGCCTCTCTGGCTGAGCATTTTGAAAAACTGGATGCCCCCTCCAGAGGCCGCTCTGAAGGGGCAGCTCACCAGAGACCTCGCAGCGGACAGGTGACAGGAAGGCATGTTAGTTAGGAAGTAGTTACAGCCTAACTCAGAAAAGTTACCGTTTCTCTTTCTAGAAAGAAGCAGGAAGTTAAGGAATCCCTTGCATTAGCGCCTGGTGTGTCGGGGGAGGCAGAGGCGGCGGTTAGAGCGTGTTGGGCCCGGCGGGTGGCTGGATCATTAATAATCACGTTGGCTTCTAAATACTGGTAGCAAGATGACGTCTGATTGGTGATCTCGGGTAGGGCAGGGTAATGGGAAGGCCAGGAATCACACACTAGGATTAACGAACAGCACGTGGAAACGAGCCGCACGGTGCTCGGCGGCTCACAAGACAAGGCACCCGGACTTCTTCTTCCCCCGCCGGGCCTGCAGGGCCGCTCTCGTGGCCATCTCGAACACCTCCCGCACGCCGTCTTTGGTCTTTGCTGAGCACTCCATGTACCCAAAGGCGCCGATCCTGTTTGCCATGTCTCTGCCTTCCTCCGGCTTTACCGGCTCCTGGCGGAGAGAGGAGGGTTACAGACAGACAGAGTAGTTACCACTGAGACACACACACGGTTAGTAGGTGTATTTATATTCAGCTAAGACTCCTTTTAAAAGCTACCACATCCCCAAATTGGAGTTTGGTCTATGGAATTCATATGCAGTGAGCCCCAACCCAATGGAATGTCCCTCTCCAATGAGCACTTCTCTGGAAGAGCCAGAGAAGCCCTGTCGGTTAAGGTTAGGAGGGAATGAAGGGCAAAATGACTCCAGCTGCCGATTCAGGTAAGGCCCTGGTCCGCCTGCAGCTTCCCAGAGAGAATGCCCTGGGGGAAAATGGATCCTGACCCTGGCATTCAGAGAAACCGCATTGGAGACCTGGGTGAGAACCTCCAGACTCTCCTCCTGCAAAGGGAAGCCCTGCTTGGGGCCACTTCCATCAGCACTTTCTAAAGGCACCAGGGCTCTGCCTAGATTCCTTCCCTCAGCACCCCCAGTCCTTCAGCTGCCACCAGCCTGCTTCTGGCTTCACATGCACCAGGTAATAACCGGAGGGAAGCAAGAGCCGATGAAGTTCCTGCATCTGGAGCACTGGCGACCGAGGTGCCAGTCCCTCCTGACGTGTCGATCCGTGGAGGCACGGCCCCACCACAGGCAGATGCCGGCTCACATGACTAGACCTCCCCACGGGTCCTCGGGTTCAAGAATGCTACAAGGCCTGCCAGTGTGGCCCAGGGGGTGGGAGTGCCGTCCGTGCCCTGAAAGGTGGCGGGTTCGATTCCCGGTCAGGTGTGTACGATCAATGTCTTCTCTCCACCCCACTCCCACCTGCCCCCATCAATGGAAACATCCTCAGGTGAGAACTGAGAAGAGTACAGGAGGAGAGAACCCGCCCCAGGCATGCCTGCTTCATCTTGGCCAGCTCCCGCCTTGTGTGCTCGTCATTTCGAAGATCCTTCTTGTTCCCAACTAGGATGATGGGCACATTGGGACAGAAATGCTTGACTTCCGGAGTCCATTTTTCTGGGATGTTTTCTGAAAATAGTGAAATGCACATAATTCAGGTATACATGAAGTTCCATAAGAATATCCAAGATCCCTAATTAAACTACACAGAAACGACTTCAGAATGATGGTGGACATTTAATGGAATTTCATGACTTAAAAGTAGTTTCAATTGTGCCAGGAAAAGGCAAACTTTACCCCCCTGCCCTTAAGCACAATCACCAGCTTTGGTCAGTCCCGCCACGAAGCCCAGCTCCTGGGGAGGCGGCCAGAGGAAGACTCCGGCAGCGCAGGATCCAGTCAGTGCCCAGGGGGACCTGCACGGTGCCACCTGCCCGCGCAGGGAGGCTCCCGGCCATCACCACCCAGCTGGCAGGGATTCTGACCACACCCCACTCGGGGTGCAGCTGGCCGAGTCCACGTTCTCTCCACCTTGCTCCTGGCCTCAGCATGTCCCTACCCTGTGGGGTATGGACTTCCAGTGAGTGACAGCCCGCTCGCGCCTGGGCCCTGGAGTATGGCCGTATGACATCAAGGTGGCTGAGCAGTGGGTTCGGCCTCCACACGCCCCTCGCCACCTCAGTGTCAGGGATGACTGCATGTGATGGGGAAGACAGTAACACACACCTTACTCTGGGTTAGTCCGAGTCAGTGCATGTAAAGCCCGTAGTGCGATGGCAATGTAAATGGAGCTGATTGTGATCTGAGATGTATTTTATAAGTAGCTGCTCACTCTCTGACTTTAAGGCTAGTGCCTTGTTTTATCGAGTGTGAGGTCAGCATTAGCCAGCCATTTTCTAAAGGAAAGTGACTTCTGAAACATGTGACCAACTGAGCTAATATGGCAGGCCCAAGTCTCTCATTATTATAATAGCTAAGATGCTTGGAAAAGGGCTGAGAGGACTTGAAAACACCACCAGAAATAGCAGTCCCCAGTCTAGTCACAGGGAGGCAACATGAAGCACTAAAAAGGGTACAGGCACCCGAGACCTTCCCCAGATCTTTGTCCCAAGCTGGTTCTGCCTCCGGAATTCGCCTGCTTTATAAAGTGGGCACAGGGCAGCCCCGAGCCAGGCTGAGAGGGCCCCAGCCGTTACCCACACTCAGGCCTGACGATCCTTCTCTGGTCCAGGTCTGCTCGATGCCCAGAACGGCCCTGGGGGCTAGGTGTCAGCAGGCACACAGGCCTGGCCAACCGCGGGCTGCAGAGCTCCTCACCTAAACTATCAGGGCTGTCGATGGAGAAGCACATCAGGATGACATCCGTGTCCGGGTAGGAGAGGGGCCTCAAGCGATCGTAATCCTCCTGCCCCGCGGTGTCCCACAAGGCCAGCTCGACCTGTGGAAGGAGAACGAAGGCAAAGGGCCAGGTTAACCCCACACCCACTTCTGTGGCTTGTGTGTGTTTTAGAGGGAGGGAGGAAGAGGGAGAGGGATGAGATGGGAGGGAGGGGAAAAAAGAGAGGGTAGAGGGATGGGATGGGAGAGAGAGAGAAAGAGGGAGAGGGGAGAAAGATGGAAGGAGAGAGAAAGAGGGAGAGAGAAAGAGGGATGGGAGGGAGAGAGAAAGAGGGAGAGGGATGGGGATGGGGATGGGAGGGAGGGAGAAAAAGGGAGAGGGATGAGGATGGGAGGGAGGGAGAAAAAGGGAGAGGGTAGAGGGATGGGGATGGGAGGGAGAGAGAAAGAGGGAGAGGGTAGAGGGATGGGAGGGAGGGAGAAAGAGGGAGAGGGATGAGGATGGGAGGGAGGGAAAAAGAGAGAGAGGGTAGAGGGATGGGATGGGAGAGAGAGAGAAAGAGGGAGAGGGGAGAAGGATGGTAGGGAGAGAGCAAGAGGGAGAGAGAAAGAGGGAGGGGGATGTCAGGGGGAGAGAGACTGATTTTTTTTGTTCCACTTATTTATGTATTCAGTGGTTGATATTCTTGTATGTGCCCTGACGGGATTGAACTCGCAACCTTGGTGTATTGGGACGATGCTCAAAACAACAGAACTAATCTGGCCAGGGCCCACTACC